ATAAAATTATAAAATAGTTACTGAGTAATTTGCTTTGAGATTTAATTACAAAAACTTGTTAAATTTGTTAGTAAGTAGAAGTGTGAATTCTTTATTTTGCAAAAGCATATTTAAAATTCTTTTCTGATATTTAATAATTATTTCAAATGTTCTATTTATAAAGTAAATAAAATATTCTATTCTTTGCAATATTAAAAACAAATATCTCAAAAAAGAAATTTTAGGCATTCTGAAAAAAATATCTTGATATTTTCTTTTAATAAAAGTAAACAATAGATAAATAGGATAAACAGTTGTTTGATTTTTCTTGCTGACTATCAGAAAGAAAATTTTTAAATTAGAATTCAGAAATTGTTAATGTAAATTTTCTTTCTAGCCTAAGCTAACAATGGCAAAATGCAGAAAAAATGTTGAAAGTTTTTTAGAAGCATGCCAATCTTCAGGTGTTCCTCAAGTAAGTTTTATTTATTAATAATTATATTTTTAAAATAATAATTTTATTTAGGAAAGACAAAAACCTTTTTAATGAAAAGAAAGAGTATGAAGATAAATTTATTAATAAATAAATTATGGAGTTATATTTCCAATTTCCATAGTTTTAATATTTTATGGACCATTCCATCAAATTATTATTTTTATGAGTAATTTATAATCTACATGCTAACTTTCTATTATATTAGTATTCTTTTGATTTTTTAAAGAATGGAAAACAACTATCTAGTAATTTGTTGTAAAGTAAATTTTTGTCATAATGAATACTTTAAAAAACTATTAGATTATAAATTAATTGAAGCATCATTTCAAAACATCTTGGAATTTTACTACATACATGGAGGGTGATCAGAACTGATTACACAGTAATCATGCCATGTAATTCCTTGTCAAAAACCAACCCAAAAAAGTGTTGGTTTTTGACATTTTTTGATTTGGATGTGGCATTCCAGAGATATCTGTTGAAAGGTTTATGATGTCACTCCTGGCCATTTGAAATTTTAGTTCTAAAAACACTAAATAAAGTATCTCTTAGGCACTCCTGGTTTTGCTGGTACCTCAGAATAAATTAAGACACACTTACAAAAAGAAGGCTTGTGATGGACATGCAAATCTGATATGTGTGTCAAACTGTGTGTTGCATGCGTAGATGTGCAATAGTACTGTACATATAAAAGGTTGGAGGAAGAAACAAAAGTTTAGGCCAGCAGCTTAGCTCATATTATGTTTATTAAATGATTTTATTATATTAATCAAACATCTTTACTATACCCGATAGGATTAAAGCTATCTATCTACCAAAGCCGAATATTATCGGGCTAGAAACAGCTATAATACTAATAAATTAGTATTATAGCCATTTCTAGCCTGATAATATTTGGCTTTGGTAGATGGATAGATTTAATCATGTCTATTAAATTATTAGTATTATAGCCATTTCTAGCCCAATAATATTCAGCTTTGGTAGATGGATAGATTTTATTTTACTTCAACATTAGACAATACTTCTTTTTTGATTGTTTTTGTGTTTTTAGTTATGTCATACTGTGTGCAAGGGTATTAACCTGTACTTCTTGTTGAGGGAATACTTTCTCATGGCTTAGTATTGGGAGCAGCAAGGCTATACAGTCAGTGATACCTGACATGATGTCCTGATCTTCAAGTCATCTGCTGTCTTGAATGTTGAATGTGCAAGACAAGTAGGTCATAATACTTTTGAATATAGTAGAAACATACTGGGCATTCTGTGCCTATACTAGCTGTGGAAGATTTTGTACTAGCATTGATATAGGAGGACCCAGTGACTGTTAATTGCACAACAGTTAAATGTGCATCAAAGTAATTTACATCCATTCTGCATGATGAGGACTGCATCCATATCACTACACATGGGTGCAAGATCTTTGTCAGCAGGATTGCCTGTGGAGATAAGTAACAAATAAAAAAAAAAGACAACTGTTGTACATTAACTGTTTAGCTGGAGGAAGAAGGGGGGGATGAGAAGGAAAGAAAGATGATGAGGAGATAGAAAGAAGAGAAAGGAAGAATCTCTCTGTTTGTAAGGTTACTACTCCCTTTACATTTAAATTAATGTTGGTGTGCAGTTTTTAGGCTGTGAGGCATGGGTTTAAATGAAAACCTGAGTTGTAGCTTACACCAGTAAGTAGTGCAGCTACATAAAAGCTAGACAGAGTAAAGATTAAGGTTTAAAACTAGAGTGAAGGCTTAAATCTAATACTAAAATTAATACAGAACTTAAGCTAGCAACCCTATAGGAAGCAGAATAACATAACTGAAACAACCAGGAGAAATAGATAAAAAACTGATATCTTAAATCTAACTTATTACTAACTTAAAACTAGTTATACTAACTTATTACTAAAAAAGAATGCTGACAAGGATAACTCAGACAAACTAGAACATGCAATGACAAAAAACCTATAGCAAGATGACAATGTTTTGTATATATATACATATGATGACAAAAGACAACAAAATGAAGCAATGGAATTAAGACAAAACAGAACCCAAGGGACAACAAACTAAGAACACAACACTAAAAAATTACAAAAAGTGTAAATAATAAATGGAAATAGACTAAGCAAGAAAGGAAATGTAACATGTGTTGTGAGTGCCATGTGGGAGAGAAACTGGAAGAGCCTTGCTGTGGGATATGAATGAAAGTAAGTGTCCCGCCGGGGAGGTCGGGAACCGTCGACTCTCCCGTTTCGGCGACAGGTCGTTAAACCTGCTCACTTGTCAAGATGGCTAAATTTCGAATGCGGTCCCGAAGGGTCGGGATACTTTTTATCAGGTCAAGTGGAGGAGGTGAGAGGGGTCGTCGACGAGGCGTAGGCGATATACGAGTAAAAGGACACCATTCAACAATGAAACAACGATTTATTAGACTATCGAAAAAAAATAAAGGTTACAAAATCTAACATGAAGAAATGAATTTATCTCACTATTAGCTCCTAACTCGCGGAGAGAGATTTTACAATTATTTGTTCATACCCCTAGTTTACTTCCACGTAGGTGGGAAAAATTTAGTCCTTTTTTTGTCGGTGATCAATGCACACAGTTCGACGCACAAAGTTAAAGTTTCCCGGAGACTTAATTAATCCTTCTAGACCGTAGATGTCAGACTCCCCCGAGAAGGGGGAAAGAAGTCGCTTTTATAGCTTCGGACTGGGAAAATCAGTCAGGTGATCTCCCATTGTGTGAGATAGAGTTGGTCCTGCAGGTGTAGAGGTCAAAGTTGTTCCCGGGACCAAAACAAAATGACGAATTCGGACTTTAACTATAAACTTTTTGTCTTGCAGCAGAGGAATGTCATTGTTCGAGGGTTGAATGTTTATATTAACGATGAAAGTTATAAGTTTCGATCGAAATTTGATTCTTTTTTCTGACAATGTTATTTTAACGTGGAGGCGACAAATTTATTTTAAATACGTCGAAAATTTAGGGAGAGAATGAACAATTTCGGGCTTATTCTGAGGTCGGATCTCACATAAGTGATTATACATTGTATGTGTCTGGATGAGTTGCTGTGGTGTGCATGGCCAGTTGTTTCCTTCCATAATTGCTGCTCTCATTAAGCTATTCCTAATGTTAATGTACTGTACCTATTGCAGTGGAAAATTAAGTGCATTGGTGTTTGTTCCTCATGCAGCCTGCACTCACAGTACAAACTGTTCCCAAGATTGAACCTATGCATATGTTTTAGACAAAATTGTTATTGAATAGGTTATAGACAAGAAAGCCAATATTCAAGTTGAGAAAAATCATGAAAATCTAATAAGAAAATGATTTATTTACAAGTATTAAACTTGAAATTCTTAGTCATTTAGACAGTGCTTTAAAATTTTTTGATGTTGAAATCCCAAATTGCAAAAATAGAATCAAGAGGTCCTAAATTCTATTTTTTAAAATGTTTTACTGTTATAATTTATAACAACTTTTTTAAGGAATTTAAACACATAGATAGTCCTTACATTTTATAGAAAAGAATTCAATACGTTTTCTAGAAGAATGCAAATATTGTTTCATATTTAGAAAATGCATAATGAAAAAATTTAATATACAGGGTGTCTAAAATTCATTGACTTGGTTAAAATGCTTAATAGATGTAAGCTTAATGCTTACAAACTGGAAATTGTCTAGGAAATTAAGCACAGTGACAAACACCATCTTATGATGTTTACATTATTGACCATATTCAAAAGGCCAATCAGTTTCTCTTGAATATGACTGGATTTTTCTGTGGGGCTGTATAAAAGAACAAGATATCTAGAAAGAGAGTTACTGACAAGATAGAACTGAAACATTGGAAATTGAAGGCAATCAGTTTGAATGTTGTATGCACTACCAAAGGTTTATAAATTTCTTAGATTTCTGTAAGTTTGTGATGATAAAGTTTTTGACTTACTACATTTGATGCAAAAAAACCATTTCCCTGTATCTACCATAAGTAACACCACTTGCCATTCAGACCCGAGTTAGCTTGGGCATGTTACATAGCGTTAGATACCAAACAGTCTTCTGGACCCTGCAGGAATTTTTTTTTTTTTTTTGGATGTTTTTAAGTTTCCAAATTTTTTTCAAAAATTTTTTCCCACGCGAAAAAATTCTATCACGATTTTAATCTACCATTAATGACGCATGATTAACGCTTAATTGTTTTTTTATGAAATTTTTTTCTCAAATTTCATTCATTGTTCTAAAGTTCTAGTGCATGGATTTTACTTTGGTAAAGTTATTTAAAGCTAGTTTCTGATGTCAAAAACGACCTCCAATAGTTTTTTTAATTTTTTAAATTAATAGATTTTATTATATATACGTTTAATTGAGTCGGGGGGTCGGAAATCGCAATAAAAAACGTAATTTTTGAAAAATATTTAAAAATATACGGCCAGCTAGTATTTACCCTACTTTAAACCTTTCTCCTCCTGTAGATTTTGCGAATGTTCCGCGAAAGATGATACTAGCTGTTCTCAAGGTCATCCAGCTGTAAACACAATTACTCATCAGCCTCAGATTTCGCGGAAAGGCGAGACAATGGAAAATAAACTTTGAAGCTTTCTCTTCAAAATTAATGCATTTCTTTTGTTTTTGTTTTTTTTTTTCAGTTTTAAGNAAATGTTACTTAACTAAAATTGCTATTGCACTGTAGGTGTTACAGGTTAAGAACAAATTGCCAAACTGTCTAATATGGTGCTGTAATATAATACTTTAAAAATTGTAAAGAATTGTAAATTAATAATTTAAATGATAAATAATTTTAACTGTTTTTACAATTTAAATAAAATATTTTATTTTTGATTAAAAAATAATCAACATTCTTGAGAAGATTATCATTCAATTGTAACAGCTTCAAACATCAAATTCTTACAATATGTAGATTACTTGAAGCTTTTTAAAATTAGATTAACTTTCTAAATTCAAAAGCGTACTGATGTTGAT